AGGAAAAGGAGTGTATTTCTATGTATGTGCATATATGTGCATGCATGTGTGTGTGGTGTGTGCACATGCATGCACGCATTTCCATAGGTCTTTCTGTCAGGAAAGTAGGAACTGGAGATAACAATATCAAGATTCAAATGTAAAAGAAGGTAGTTGGAAAAATGGGAACTTTTCCCTACCTGGTTGCAGGGAACAAACAGAATAGGCCTGAGGGAAGCCTGTAATACACAAATCAACAAAAGGTATATACTGAAAATGACCTATAAAAGGTCACGAGTCTCATGCCTTGGCGGTTTTTGAGCAAATGCCTTTTTCCAGTCTACTAGCTCATACCATCTTTGGAATATTTTTCTCTTTCTTAGAACACCACCTCTATTTCTATTACTTTGGCACATGGCCCTGGTACAATTCTTTACTTTGAGACACAAAAACATGGAAACCAAAAGTGCCCCACCCCTTGCCCCATACTAGGATCCCCATCTACCGGTAACATTGAGACATGGGGAGGGAGGCCAGGCTCATCTTAGGCACATAGAACTCTGGAGTCCTATGGAAGTAGAACAGCAAGCCAGAGCTCCAGGAATCACAATGATTTTCATAAACCACATAAGAGACAAATCAGGCTCCGGGGACCACCAGGAGAACCATGAAGGTGAGAGCAACAGCTTATCTAGTCTGGGACCCCAGTTAGCGTGGAAATGAGAGTTTGATCATTAGGGAAGAGAGAGGGTGTGCAATGACCACGGAGATGAAATTTCCATCAGTCTTGTAAGATATAAATGAGCTGATTTAAAGGTGAGACAATGTCGTATTTCTTGCACATCCATGTTCATGAACTAAGGTTCGTACCTATTCTACTCATTGGGCATGAGATATTTGGACATTTGGGGAGTGCTGTGGGAAAATGCCACTGACTTCAGAAGAAAAGGTGCAGGACAGCCTACTGAAGTAAGACGACCTGGTTAGCGCTCTCTACAAATGGGAGGGTGTGATTGGGATAATTGTTGGTAAAACGTCGTTGTTGGGGGTCAAAGCTTGAGCCTGGAGGAGTAAGTGAATAGGCTCAATTTATCGGATTAGCCTCTAAGCATGAGGGACAGGTAGGGAAAAATGGAGTTGGTTCTTTGGACTCTCATATCGTGATTAGGAATCTTGTTGGAAACTTATTTAAAGGAAAACTTTCACGGAAGGTGCAATACACCAGGCACGTCTTTTTAGAAACTTATTTCTATTTGTGTGTGTGGGTGGGTAGGGGTAAAAGTGCCATGACACACGGTTGGAGGTCAGAGGAAAACCTCCATTAGTCACTCCTCTGCTTCTACTATGTGAGTCCTGGGGGTCAAACTCCATCCCCCAGGCTTAGCAACAGGTACCTTTACCCAGTGAGAAATCTCCCCAGCCCTCAGACACCACATGACTACTGCTTTGATGTTGCTAGAGGGGACTGTGCAGTGCTGAGATGTTGTATTTAATGACCTTTATTCTGCTGCCTATGGTTTGGACATTATTTGGGGAACAAATTTGTGCTTTCTTTACTTCTCATTTATCATAAAGAATGTGTTGATTTTTATCCTACGGTTTGTGAGAAGTTGAAGTTTTTATTAGCAATAAAGAAAGATTTAAACCTATCTAGGTTTAGCAAGCTCAAAACTCAAACAAATCATAATATTTTTTATTAAGTTTTAAATGTTTCCTCTGATTATCAAATATCTTCAGATTGAATTACACTCTGCCTTCTCTCTAGATTCTTCTTCTGTGGGCTTACTCATCAAAGACTAAAAATATCCCGATAAACACTACCTATATAATGAATATGTATAAAACTGGCCTTCCTTGTCACTATTCACTATACGTTATGGCTATTTTCACTATTAGCATTTATTGCAAAAAAAATCTAGAGACTATTTAAAGTAGATAGAATACTGTACCCAAGCTATGAGCAAACACGCCATTTTATAGAGGGTACCTGGACATCTTTGCATTTAGGTGAGTGGGAGGTAGGGCTTGGAATCAAGTCAGCATAGATAGATGCAAAGTTGATGTACATGCATTATCAACCCAGTAGCTATACTCAATGTAGTGAGCACCTATTGTGCTCCAAGCCCTATTGTAAGAGCTAGGAACGTGCCAGGAAGACCTTGCTGGTCTCTACCCATATACTGATAAGAATGACAGACAATAAATAAGGATATATGCCTATCAATTTTTGATGTGTTACATAGAAAATCAAACGGGGCTGAGAGGACGGAGTGACAGCTCAGCATGTTCTTTACATAGGACAACTAAAAATGATCTCTGGGCTCCAGGCCTGCAGGCCCTCCCTGTCCTTACTCTCTTCCAGGTATCTCAAGCTCATTTACATTTCAGGATTTTTTGCAAATGTTTTCTCTGCCTGGCTCTCCTTCCTCCTCTCAAGCGCCACTGGGAGTCTTCCCTGTTCTGACCACAGCTCTACTGGCATGTGTACCCAACCATCCCATGCCTCTGTCACCCAGAGAACAAGGCCCAGGGGAACAGACCTATATCTCCTGCACTGCAAATCCCACAGCTTGACACATGCAGATGGGCGTCTAAGTAATTCTTGAACATCCAGAGTGATAGATTAAAAGTAGGTGGCCCCTTCCTGGACCTCCTTAGAAAGCAGTGTGTTTCATCTTGTCTGTCATATAAGTGAACTAAGGGATTTTTATATCAAAAGAGTAGCATCATTTGGTTTTACCCAGTTATGAATATCTGTCCTGATATGAGATAACTAGTCTGTCACATCACAAAATGGTCACTACTGCTAGAAATGTGTGCTGAGTGAAATGCCATGTAAAACATGATTTCTCTGGAAAAGACCAAATCATAAGTAGGCAGAATCAACCCATGCTTTTATTTTCATTGCATATAAAATTTTTATATGAAGGTATTGATGTACAGTACTATCCCCATGGGCTGTAGGAGAGGCTAAGAAACCACTAACAGAATCACCATCTGTGATGCTCACACACAGTTTACCACGCGGAAAACACACCCAAAGAAAGGAAACAGTTAAAAAAAAAACTGAAATCTGTAAGGATGTATTTTGTAAGTATAGTGTTCCGTTTGTACTGTTTAAAACAAAAGTAATCAAATTCCTTTGGGCCAGGGCTGCTAAAATCTACAGTTTGTGTCAAAAAATAAAATAATAGGAGGCTCGTTTTTCCTAGAAAAAAAGACTCTGTCTTTTCACTGTGTCACACGCGCTAAGGGCTGAGCTGTAGTGAGACGTGGCCACATTTTCCACCAGGAAGCTCTCGTGGCTTTCAGGACTTGCCATTGTGCAAGGTCACACTTAACAATCCTACAAGGACAGACGTTTTACAGAAACTATTTCAGAGAGACATGAGTTCGTTACATTATGGGAATTGGCATCGTCACAGAACTATGTTTAAGTTAGATGATTTACATGTATACATACGTATATATTCAAACAGTGTGTATGTATATGTATTATACATGTGTATTATGTATTATACATATATAAATTTGATCTTGGAGAAAAAAATAGTATTAAAAATTGTATAATTTTTTGGTATGACAGGAAGCTGGTGAGCAGAGGGCTAACCAAGATGAGTGACCCATGCCTCCTGTTTCAAATCAAACTCATCTTCCTGTAAGGTCCAGAAGCCAACAAGCCATTCTATAATCACTGGAGAAGTACGTTTCTCTAGTACAGGTTTGGGAGTAAGAAAAGCAATGCCGTATGTCCAAGTGAAATGGCTCCCAGCATTCAGCTAGGAAACAGTCACCATCCGTGCAGCCATGCTCCATAGAAACAGGTGCTTAGGAGCACGCATCTCAAAAGTGTCAGGAGGTTCTCCAGCAGTGATGTCTAGTCTTTGTAAAATCAGCTATTGCCAGAAATTCCACCAGGGAAGCGTGTGGATACAAAACGCCCAGCCCAAGCCACTATCACCTTACTCTGAAATGCAGCGAAACAGAAGAAAATATTGGTTACAGTTAAGGCACAGCCCTGGGACCAAAGACCTGCAGCTATGATATTTAAATTTATATATCTTTATGTATCTTATATTTTTCTTGAATCTTCCATAAACAAGCTCTATGATGACAAGACTATATTACAGAAGAAAAGAAAAATGTACAAGGAGTATGTATACACACCATTCATTCTCTCACCAAGAGTTTCCAAATATGTCAACACCATCCCACCATGGGACGATGTTTTAATAAGAACTGATAATTTACAATTAACATTACATTATGTACATTGCAATAAATACACGGTTGTAAACAGACAAACAAGACTGTATTACAGGTAAGGTCATTTGGTGAGAAAAAAAATGCATGGCACAAAAAATAAATAATGCATTAAAATTATCATAAAGCTTTCTGTAAAATCTGTTTCATTCAAGTTTTTTTCTTTCCTTATCTGCATTTTGTTCCATCTATACTGTTTACTCGTATCTTTGAACTGATGTGAAGGAAAACAAAATGAAGACAGCGTTATCACCTTCAGTAACTTGCAAGCTGAAATGTACTGGTTTTATGCAAACTTGGACTTGGTTTCCCCTGTACAGTACCCAGATATTGCATTTTCTTATGGCATTTTAGGAAATAAAGCCACTTGTATAAAGATGTTCTTTTTAATGCAGTGTGTATTGTGAACCACACTTTGGTGAGAGAGCAAATGAGCAAGGGGCACGGTAAAGGGGGGTAGGGGTGGTGAACAGATAGTAGGTATAGGACGCTAGTCTCTAACTCTTGGCTATTATGTGTCCGCTACAGCTTGATTGTCCATCGGTGGCTGCTGTTGTAACACAGTGCCATTAAGAACCAACGCAAGCCGGGCGATGGTGGCGCACGCCTTTAATCCCAGCACTCGGGAGGCAGAGGCAGGCGGATCTCTGTGAGTTCGAGACCAGCCTGGTCTACAGAGCTAGTTCCAGGACAGGCTCCAAAGCCACAGAGAAACCCTGTCTCGAAAAACCAAAAAAAAAAAAAAAAAAAAAAAGAACCAACGCAGCTCCGTTAGTGCGGTTACCAGCCCTGGCAGGTATGGATCTGTTTATGACATATTGCTGTTCTTTTTTTCATTGTGAAGACTGCAGGCACTCTGTGGGGGAAATGCCACGTGGAGGGAGGGGAAGAAGTAAGAATGATTTAGGAAGGGGGAAATCAACTCTAGACTCTGCCCTTCCTTCGGGAGCCCCTTCAGGGACACATAAAATGAAAAGAGAAACAGGTGCCCAAATGTCTTGTGAAAAGTCTGGTCACACGAGGCAGATTATGTTCCGTTTGCTCTTTACAAGGAAAGGAAGCTGGCACTCCAGCGGTCAGTTATTTGATTCTTATCCTGCCCTATGGTAAAGATCAGAAACCTTTTTTGTAGCAAAGGTTCTAAGCATCCTCGGGACCAAAGAGATTGAAGCAGGGTTTCGGTTCAGCTTGAGTGATTTCCCTGGCTGACGACTTATTTTTCTCAGTGACTAGCCCACAACTTCCTTGAGAAGTTTTAGGTATGTTTTTTCAGACTTATGATTTTTCATTTAGTTATATACCATCCTCCCTTTTACTCCCCATTTGGTTGGGTGCCAAAAATAAAAAATTAACATGGGCTCCAAACTCCGAGGATCCACCTAAGGCTCAGACTATACATGTGCTGCCTGAGGCGGACTACAATCCGCAAGTTAACACTGGGAGTTAATATATAAAAATCAATAGGGTTCCTGGGGCTGAAATCTGGAATTCCCTCTTAATATTGTATTGAGACAGAGTCTGTCAATCCGAGGTTTTAGATTGCATTGCATAACTACCCCGCCCTGGTGCCAGTGGCACCATCAATTTTGTGTGTCTGAAGTAGTCCTTCCTATAGGGCAAGCTTATGGAGCAATTATAATGATGGCGATTTTCTGGGAGAGGAGCTGCTACCCGTAGAGTGACTTTCCAGGGACATTCCTCATGGAGGTCTTATGTCCATGGGCAGTTCAAACCACAGTTGTCCCGGTCCTGGCTGAGAGAGTCTGCTAGCATTCTTCAGAACTGCGAATGCAAACTTAGCGTGTTTCCCTCCGCAACCCCAGAGGGAAAAGCTAGTGATGACACAGAACCTTATGTGGCAGAAAGGAATGTCAACCCTAACGACACTGACACTCTTGACAAGACCCCACCTAGAACACGGGCAGAGGCTGGAACACACATTAGACAGTACAGTGAAGGACAAATGTCTCTCTTATTGTACCCGTCTGTGAGCAACAGTAAAACTGATGGGCGAATGTGTCGTGACTGTAAGGGACACAGAAAAAGAAAAAAGGCATCAGAAGGCAGTAGGTAGGAAGATGCCTGAAACAGACCGACTCTCAGCTACTGGGTATTTCTATATCGCCCATTGACTTCGGACAACACCAACTGAGGACTGAGCTTCCAGGAGGCTTAAGACACATTTGACAGAATGCACAGAAAGGATTACAGAATAAATACTCACTTCGCACACCACGGATGTGATGGAGAGCAATTCTCCTGGTTGGGGGAAGGACTGAAATAAGAGACGGGAGTCAACCGACACTTACAAAAAGGGTTTCCAGCAACAGAAAGTTGTTTCTCTGTTTTAAGGTATGGAAGTCATTGGTATATAAAACAAGAGATCACTACAAATCAGTTAATTGCTATGAACTCTAAGGTGCAAGTAAAATTTGTAAATGAGATTTATCCAGTGTAGTAGCACTGATCTGTACTGAAAACTTGCAAGTTACTCCTTAGAAAAAAATAACCAGTGGCGGATGAAGTTCTGAACAGTTTTTTTTTTAAATATAATACCTCAATACATTTAATAATAAAAGTAAGCTCTACAAAAAATCTGTTTTACATATCATACAAAATGTAGAGGTGAGTGTGGCTCACTGAACCACACTGTTCAGTCATGTATCAGGAAGACTTGAAATTAGAAAATTATGCAATTTCTGCGGCTCATCCTCCTCCTGTTCATGACACTTTCATTGCTTCATCTGCGAGTTCACTCCGTCCCTCAAGTGCCTTCCTTCTTTAAAATTTCTGCAAACAAACCAGGAAGAAATCCTGCCATCTACATCTACTTTGGGGCAGCCCGATGAGCCAAGCTCCCTCAAACACAGTTGGAGTTGATTTTCCCCGCTCTGTCAGCTCCGCCAAGCTGAGAATCACGTCAAAATCATGTTCGTGACGAAGGTTCCCCCTTGCTCCGATGACATGGAGGTGAAAGAACTGGTTGCGGTATTCCTGAGCGCCAGACTGAGTAGTTCAAGGTCAGTTTTGTTCAACAAACGTCCTGGCAGATGATAGTGAGGTGTGACCATGGTTGTGGCATGTGACATGCACTTTGGAAACAATTTTTCTACTTAAAAAAAAAAAAAAGTGAGACAGTCTTTACACTGTTACGTGTCAGGACAGCCATCGTCTATGGCACAAGTTTCGGGCTGGCTTGCCTCCTCTTCTGCTACAGCCTCCTCTTCGACCTGCTCATCCAGGGGAATTTCCGTGGACTCCGAGTCTTGAGTGCACAGCGTCTTGGAGTCACTGCAGCTAGTGTCTTCCTCCACTTGACTTCCGCTGTCCTTCTCAGTGTCTGACTCGCCGTCTTCCTCCAAAGTTAGTTCAAACTGGAATTTTTCAGTTTGGCCCTGCCGGCCCTCCTCTTGGTCGTCGGGTGCAGGGGAGGGGCTCTGGGGGATTGTGCTCTGGTACCACTCACGATTGTCCTCCAAAGTGTCCAAAATGTCCTGGGCATCAGGGTGTACGAGGTCTGCCCATGTCTCCCAGAGTGGATGAACAATATAGTCTATGAAGCCCACCTGGTCAGAAAAGAAGAGAAATTCAGTGGGGACTAAGAACCTCGAAAAGGCTCAACCAGACCATGGTTCCCCATCGAGCCTGCATAGAAGACTACTAACTTGGGTTCCGTACATTCGTCACTATTGGGAGTCAGCAGATGGTGTAAGTGTGGCTACTAGCTGGCCAAAGTTAGAACTCTTAGTTCAAGGGATGCTTACAATATAGAGAATACTAGTTATTTACGTGGACTGGAGAGATGGCTCAGCAGTTAAGAGCACTGCCTATTCTTCCAAAGGTCCGGAGTTCAATTCCCAGCAACCGCATGGTGGCTCACAACCATGTGTAATGAGATCTGGTGCCCTCTTGAGGAAAAGACTTGGTCAGTGGTCATCAACTAGACCATGAAGCCCAATATGGACAAGTTCAACAGAACCTCCATATCCGGGCTGTCCATGCATGCTTCAGCATTGCCAGGGCATAAATTTCATTTTCATTTTTTCAGCTGTTTACATAGTTGGGCCTGGGGCCTGGATCTTACTTGAGAATAGTCAGTTTGTAGAGAACCCAGATAACTGAAATAAGCCAAGCATTCTATTTACAGAAGTACATTAGACGGCTATAGTCGCATGAATGAATTATAGTAAACTAGGTGTGGCTGTATGACTGTAAATCCTAAGAGTCTTTGGCTCATCAACAGCAGTGAAATCTACCGTGCCAAATCCAAATTAATTATCAAAAAGGAAAACATAAAATGCAGGGAAGTGTGAAGCTAAAACAGCCAACCGCTTCAGCTGCGGCTCAGCCCGTTCTCCGAGTTGGGGCTTTACCTGTGATTTTTCCACAGAGGCATTGTGCTTGTCACACATGGGACTGATCTCCATGCCACGTTCCCGCTCCCGGTCCCCCTGGCGGAAGAACTCCTCCATTATCCGGTCTGTCCACTGGCGGTACAGCTGGAGCGGCTTCGTGGGGTTGCTCAGATCTGCACAGTGCACCATGTTCTGCAGGACCTAAGGCGGGCGGAGGCATGCTTTACTCTAGGAATCTGCATCAGGTGACTGTGACACTTAAAAATACATGTGGTGTCAGGCTTATTACAAACGGCTCTACCGTGCGGGGGGGGGGCTCTGCAGCTCACACTTGATTAATAGTTCTGAATTATGCACCTAAGAGACGCTGTGTTCATGAATTATGATGCTCAAATGGCTGGTCTTCGGATGTTATGTTGTCAGTGTATATGCAAATGAACAGGTCAATAAGAGTTTACCTGTTTAAGTACAAAGGACTGGGTACGTTTTTTTCTTTGTCTCATCTGTCTTTTGCCTGTATATTATGACTTCTAATTGTGTGCTCGTATGGATTTTCTTTATATGTATTTCTTGTATTTTTTTTCAATTCTGTTTTGCTTTCTAAATGAAAGGGAGAAAAGGACTTGGGGGTTGAGTGGGTGGGGAGGCGAAGCTATGATCAGAAAAATATTGTACGAAAACCACGTTTCTCAATAAAAAAAAAAAAAAAGATAAAGATCCTGCCTGTAGCTTCTGGACATACGAGAAGGGACAGAGAAGAAACAGCTCCTGTCTCTTGCCGAGTCACTGACGTATGCATAAAGAGCAAACACAGACGCCGACTTACCTGGATCCTGTCAGAATAGTTGTCGAGGAGGAGGACACCAGAACTTGTCACCTTCTTCGTTTCCACCATCGTCTTCAAATCAGCCAGCAGGTTCATGTGCTTTGACATGTCTGTCGCAAGTACCTGGCAAGGCAAAGATTATTTCATGAGGGAAGAAGGCCAAAAGGAAGAAAACAAAACAAAACTGCCAATGGACAGAGAGATTATTTTGAGTCCGAAAAGGAAGAGAGAAACACTGAATTCTACTGATATGTGGAAATGGGGAGCTCTTTTCCTCTTGGTTCTCAAGTTTTCCCAGAGCCCATACAACATAGAAACCTAAAGTACCTGGCCACCACTTTCAAGGTAAATATACCATCTTATTTCCTGTGTTTGTTCTGAACTAGGGAGCCATACTGTACTGTACCTAGCTGATTCAAGGCTACTTGGATAGACTTGGGATACAAAGTATTTGGGTTGGTTTGTTTTGCTGATCTAGGAGGAATGATGTCTCCCTGTGAACAACAAAGCATAAAAAGGTAAAAGTGTACACCGGGAGCTCACGAGATGGCTCCGTGGGTAAAGGTGCCTGTCACCAAGGCTATGATCTGAATCTCATCTTTAGGACCCAGGCGGTGGAAGGAAAAGAACTGATTCCCATAAACCATCCTCTGAGTCCACTGGTACATCAGGGAGTGTGTGTGTGTGTGCACATACCCAAACAGAAATTAATAAGTGTAAGTTAAATATAACCCTATTGTGGGGCCCATTCTCTATGGAGAGATACCTTAGCCTAGGCACTGGGAAGTGGGGTGGGGGTAAGGAGTTGCTTGGTCCTGCTTTAAGGAGGAGATGGGAGGACTTAATTGACTTCCCAGGGGAGGCCTTACCATCTCTGAGGAGCTGATGGGGGATAGGGTGGGGAAGTTGTAGGGGTGCGAAGGGGAACTGGGATTGATTTGTGAAAAAAAAAAAAAAAGAATAAACTGTAAGATGAATGCTAATATAAAAAAAATTTAAAAACTTAAGTATAATTTTATACTACCCAGAGATTCCTCTGAATATTGTACGCAGGGAAAAGAGTCTAGTTGAGGGGATTTCTGTGTGAGTGGGAGGTGGACAGACTCTGCTGGAGTTGCAGAGAATGGCCTGTATTTGCTGAGTCATTCTTCTCTGCCTGTCACTGGCCAAGAGAAGAAAACAGCCAGCATACTAAGTCTTCTGGTTTAAGTTCCTCTCATAGATTATATCCTGACTACAGTTTCCCCTCCCTCCCATCTCCCCAAGTCTCTCTTCTCTGCCATTTCCACTTCCTCTCAGAAAAAGAGCTGGCCTCCCAGGGACATCAACCAAACACCCATACATGGCATAGCTATTTTCAGTAAGACTAGGCACATGATATCACATCAGGGCTGGAGGAGACAACCGAGAAAGGAGGAAAAGGGTCGCACAAGTAGGCAAAATAGTCAGACAGCCCCTGATCCTCTGTTAGCAATCCCACAAGAATAGGAAGCTACTCAGCATAACACCACATATTAGATGGAGCTTGGGGAGTTCTGCAGAGAATGGGGGGGAAGGATCAGAGGAACCAAGGGGTCAGGGGCAGTGTGAGGAGGCCCACAGAAGCAACTGGCCAGGACTCAGGGGGCTTGCAGAGATCAGGGAGCCCACAGGGGTCTGATGGATGCTGCTGGTCTTAAATCCCAACTGTTAAGAACAGAGATGCTATTATATAGTCAAACACTGCCAGGGGCAGCAGAGGCAGTTTCGACAGGTCCACGTCCCAATCTAGCCCTGTATCATCTCTAAGAACGTGAATCAGTTTTGTTAGGTACTTACAATGTCAATGACCATTTTCCTTAAAGATTGTCTTTGCTTTTTGGTCAGATTCTGGAAAATGTCACAGTTTTCTTCTTGGAGCAACTTGAAACCCACAGCCAAGTGATGGTTCTCGAGGACGGAGGAGTCGTTGTACATCAAGGCAAGTTCTGAGTCTGGAAGAAGGAGCAGGGGCAATGTCACCAAGGCTACTTACTTAGTGTCTCTCTCGCTCTTCAAACTGTACGGTAACTCCAGGGGCTGAGACAGGAGGATAACGAGTTAGAGGCTGGTCTGGAAACAAACCCCCAAGATTTTCGATGCCTTGTGTTTAGGAAATGGTTGCCCCTGAATGTCTTTTCCATCACCCACAAGCAAACATGTCAAATAATCTAAGAACTGAAAGAAAGCCCAAATCTTCGGAGGCAATTGCAATTTGACTGCTAGGTGGTCCTTTCAGGCAATTCTCTGGAGTGGAAGAAGTGGACCAGTCTCTTTTCAGAATCAGCCATCAGCTCAACAGACTGTGCATTATTTCTAACACCTGTGCCCCATCCTAGGCAGGAGGTGTCATTTCCTGATCACTGTGGAACACTTGCCCTGATATGGTGGTCGAATCACGGGTGCAAGGCTGTTTATACACAGAGCAAGCTCCAGTATTTGGTTTGCTCATGGTGCTTGTCCTTCTAAATGACCCCCCCCCCCCACACACACCCTTCACACACACACACCACAAATGTTTCCTCTTCTGAGGCTCCTGGCCGTGCTCAGTGCTCTACGAGTGTGAACTGCCTTCCTGCCTGCCCGCGGCTCCGCACACCCTGTGCACACCCATCTACAGACTCGTGATAGAGAGATTCTGTACTTCACGTACGGCTTCAGATCTGCGGATTGATGGCAGCAAGGTACTCTGCCTCTTCCTAATCCCAGCAGCAGACCTGGATATAGGAGGCCTTTTGTTTTTAAGATTAATCTTTATGCCTCTTCCTAATCCCAGCAGCAGACCTGGATATAGGAGGCCTTTTGTTTTTAAGATTTATCTTTATGCCTCTTCCTAATCCCAGCAGCAGACCTGGATATAGGAGGCCTTTTGTTTTTAAGATTAATCTTTATGTGTATAAGTGTTTTGCTTGAACGTGTGTATCTGTACCATGTGTGTGCCTGGTGCCTGCGTAGGCTGGAAGAGGGCATTGGCTCCCCTGGAACTGGGGTTACACATTGAGAGTTGCCCTGTGGGTGCTGGATTTTGAACCCTGGTCCTTGAGATCAGCCAGTGCTCTTAAATACTGAGCCGTCTCACCACACCTATCTTTAAGAGTTTCAAGACCCTTTATTTTGCTTCCTTAGGTAGCTGTCAAGATTGAGAGCACAGGTATTCAATATTCACTGTCACTAAGGCTCTAAAAAAATACACCCAGTGGCTTCTTCTGAGAGCAAGCATCAGACTACTTACTGATTGCTTTGAAGGAGTTAGGACAACAATACGTCTTCTTCTGAGAGCAAGCATCAGACTACTTACTGATTGCTTTGAAGGAGTTAGGACAACGGAGGCTTGGGATGTGCTCCCCAAGGAGACCCTATGATCTCAGGAGAACTACACACAAAGAGCATATCTAATCCACTGCTCTCCACACCAGAAACAGGAGAGTGCAGAGCTTCCGGAGTAGATGTGCAAGTTTATGGTTCACTTTTATTTTGTCTGGAAAAATAAATACCGTTGAAAGGTAATGTCTGACTAAGTCTTGCTCTTCTCTATGCTAGGGATCAAATTTACTTTTAAATAATCTATGAAAGCCCATGGATAAACATGTAGAAGTCAGAAATTTAAAATGATATGGGATCTGAGCACGAGACACTGTTATATACACATCTTAATCATACTAAACAAGCAAATGCTGGCAGGAAGGCATAATATTGTCTAACTCATAGAAATAATATGACTTCATCTACCACGGTTTTTTTTAGGAGAATAAACATATATGTAGATAAGGGGCATTAACATAGGATTCACCTGAACTTACAGAAATACTAACAGGTTTATATTCCCTCTTATTTATAGAGAGAGCTGAGGCAGGGAGGGTGCTGCCTCCAGAAAGGTGATCTGTTCTGTGGAGATCACCTACTCAGTCTGGGTAATCAGCTGCTCCAGTCTGATGCTACTGAAGGCAACCAGGACAGGGTAGTAAAAATCTTAGTTTTAAATGAAAAAAACAAAACAAAAAACTAGCATTTAAGAAATTGAACCCCAGGGTCATCATCTAACTTTCTATACTGGTCACTGAAATTGCACTGGTCACATGTAAGACAGAAGGCAAGGGTCTATAGCACCTGCTAAAGATGCTAACCCAGGACTTGTAAGTAGAGTCCTTAAAGTTCACACTGCAACACAACGTACACACAGACAATAAGGCGTGGGAGGATGGGCGGAGAGGCTAGCTGACCAGCCACTCTTCTGTCAGGGGTTTGATGAAATCATTCTTGATTGCTGAACACTTCACGGCTCATTCTCTAAATGATCCCAGCACTGTGGACCATTCGATGACCAGTAGAGCATGCTTCTAGTCTTCCCTTCTCTCTGAACGTAGTCTGCTTCCTTGACCTTCCCAACCTACTTAGAGACTTGAGTCTCTAAACAAAATTAAAGGTTACTTCTGGTCATCTGGTTTCTACTAGACACTTCCCTTCTTCCTAACTTAAAAGCACCAAGAAGAAAATATCCTAAGTCGCCACACTCAGGGGACTCAGCTGCCCTGGTGTTGTAAGTGGTTGCCATGGTGTATCTTCAATGCTCACAACTCTCTTAGGAAGATCTGAATGTGATAGCCATTCATAAACGAAGAAAATGAGTCTTAGGAAAGGTGGCATTGTCAATATCACACAGCTGGGACACTCATTTAAAGGCAAGCTGTCTCCAGAGTCCTCATTTCAAGATGATGTTATAATTTTTAAAAAAGGAGCTAACAGTGAATCCACCCAGCGCCCTGGGTTTTTCTTTTTGAGAAAAAAATGCTCTTTTTTTTTTTATTGTTGTTTCGGTTTTATTGCTGAGCTGTTTCTATCTTATTGATTTTAATTTTGAAAACGACAAGGCCTTGCTTCAAAAATCCTACAATCCTGTGCCATGAATCGCCTACTGAGCCCTGTACATAGCTCCAAACAACCACACCGTCTGCTACTGGCAAGCCCAAGCACCGCTGGACCAGTGAAGTCATGAGGCACTTACTTGCATGGCAGCAGAGACCCTGAAAGAGACTTCCTTTATTCTGAGTCATGAAATAAGCTAGCAACAGTTTTCCTGCCATCCAGTAATAGGCCAGAGTGACACACCTCAGTGAGGAGACTGTGGCTCCCAAATCCATCCAGGCCTGGGGATCACGAGGTCCTCTCTCGGGTGTAACAAGCGTGATATGTAATTATTCTTCCACCTTAGAAGGGATGGCCCAGCATGCCCCATACCACTGGACCCTTCCATATTTCACTAAGGGATGGAGCTCCTGGACTTTGGCTGGATCTATTTCCCAACCAAGGTCATTTAACCAGCAGCAGATGTCCTAGAAAAGCTGGGAGCTCACTGTACTTGAGCCAGTCATAAAAAGTGGTTCTGACTTGGACTTTCAGCAGTTTCTCTCTGCGAGTGCAGCAAAGGCGGCTCTTGTCCCGACACACCCAGAAACACAAGCCGTTGACGTGTGCCTGATCTGGGATTTCCCATCCCAGGGCTCATCATTTTCAACAAGCATTTGGTCCAGTGACATTGGGAGCAACCAAGCAATGTCATCACCTTCCCCGAATCTCCTAAGAAGTTCTGGGAAGATATGGAATCACTCACAATCTCGTATCCTACCAGGGGTTGATATGAAGTACCTGAGGCTCATCGTGAGTATCTCTGTATATACTTCATAATACAGCTTATCAGTATGTTCTTTACTACAAGGAATAGAATTATCAGGGTTTCACATCCAAGAGAGGAGACAGCGCTAGAAACACACAAAGCAACCCAGAAAATGCATCCTTAGAATTCCACTCCTCCTATATCACCTTTTAAAGCCCAGTCTCCAAGAGTCATGCTTCCACAGTGACACACAGCCTGAAGGACAGATATAGATTCTCTGTTTACTGCAGGAATTAGCTCAGGTTCTTATAGAAGCCAAGAATGGCCTCAATCTTCAGGCCTTATACAAGCTGGAGAGCCAAGAAAGGCACTGGCAACTCAGTCCTTCCAAAGGCCTGAGACAGGGAATGAGGCGAGAGACAGGGAAGGAAATGATATAAGTGCCAGCTCCAGTTGGGAGCTCTGCGAACCAGCAGCACTGATGTCTGAGAGCAGGGGACGACACATGTCCCAGCTCCGACTGAGAACGTCATTTGCCTCCCTTCACCCCATCTACTGTATTGGGGCCTGTAAGAGTTGGCGGTGGTGCCCATTCACCTGGGTCGGGGTGATCTGTTCTCAGTCTGCTAATTCAGATGCTAACTTCACACAGAAACATTCCTTTGGGCTCACCACAAATTAAGATTTTCCAGTTCTCTAGGTAGCCCTAGAACTGTACATCTTAGACTGTGAGCTTGCAGAGGGCAAAAGCCTGCTTGCTGTTGCTTTGCCAATGCTGTGGTCGTGCACTAAGGGCAAGAATTTCCTGTTAATCTTGTGGCAGGGTAAATATACTTAAATGAAGTTTATTCTACAGAGCTAATTGCAACATGGGAGAAATGTGATGGCCTAAAAAAGAGCTCTTTAAAAATTTCAAAAATTTAGATAAATTGAACTTAAATTGTTAAAAGCTCAGAACTGGCAAGAGTTCAGGAGATAAAATGTAGGTGGCATAAATATAAGGAAAATGTAAATGCATCTATGCTTTCTGTTGGATCAAAAGAAAGCAATATTTCTGAAAAGTATAAAATGAGAGATTTTACTCAGAGTATATACTTTCAAAGTGACATCCTCTGAAGGAAATGGGTAATTTAGTGTCTATTAACAGAGTCAAGTTAATTCATTTGTGTCTCTTCTACTTTTCAATGAACATATTATTATTGTCATCATCCACTATGTAGCCCTGGCTGGTCTGGAACTTGCTGCATGTGAGAATAAGATTTGGGTGAAGCTGCGCAGCCTGGGAGCAGGTCAGAGTGCAGGGGTGAGGGGTGTGATGGGGTGGGGGATGGGGGGGAGGGTATTACACCAAGAGTGAAAGCCACGCCCTCTCTCCACTCCTGTCACTTAGCTGGGCTTAGCCCAGTGTTTGACAGGACAGCAGGCTCCATTATGTCTCTGCGTCACTGGAGGCACGAAACAGTCATCCGTGTAATGGTTACTGAAAGGAGCCGGGGTGAAGGACAGGAAAGAGAAGGCAGTGGTGGAGGGAGGGTTAGATCAAGGTCTATTATGTACATGTATGATAACATCATGACATAAAGTCAAAGTATTTAGGCATGCATGAAAATGTAAGTGTGAAATTGTTATAAAGTATACTTTTTTAATATAAAAGACTTCTAAATAACATGTTTCTAAAACTACCCTTCTCCCCCTCACTTCATCTGTGCTCCATGCCCTGACCCTGCCTGGCTTCCTCCTGCATGAAGTACCATCTCAAGATATCACTTATTAAGTTGTCTCTTATAGCACAACACAAGTTCTTATGAGCAAGACCTTGCTCGGCCTTGTTCTCTGCATAATCATAATTGTCAAAAATGATTTTGTCCTTATCTCAAAGGTTTGCACAGACAAAGATCTCTATATAAATCACGACTACAGCCATGGGAAACCGTGAAAATGATATGAGAGCTTGCTAACCTCTGTAAAGTACGTACACTGGCATCTAGATTCCACTCCGGCTTACTCTGATGTATTGTCTCTCTGCTCTCGGAAACCCAAAGACATATGCTTTGAATACCAATGAGTGTGAATGAATCTTCCTCCCCAAACTCGGGCATCTTTCCTATAAACAAAGCATTCTCTTTCCAAGTAAAATATAACACCATTCATGTTCGGTACCTTTCATACCGTTTACGTTTTCAGAAAATAAAACTTGAAAGTCAAATGATCTTTTCACCATAAATACCTTTCATATGGTGCAGTCAAAGCTTTATGAAGCTATTTGCACTTTCTGGGTTGCTTTATCTGCACTGTCTTCACGAGAACACAGCAGCATTCCACCTGGAGTTTCAATTTCTCTAGGCCCTGTGTCCATAGACCTCTACGTCCTTCAGGCATCCATTAAAACCCAACTTCTCATTGTATACTAAAGTCCCAAATGGCCACATCTCATCATCTCTGCCATGTAGAAATGATCCCCTGTTCTCAGAACCTCCATGTGCTTTCAATAAGCACAGACACCCATAGTATGAAACCATGCGGTCCCCAAACTAACACATCAAGTCTAAGATCACAGTTAAGAGGCAGGGGCATGACCGCACTGCAAATCACGCCAACAGTAAGTATACCCTGGGACGCGCCTTTTAAGTTCACTACGCCTTAAGAGATGCAGCCATCTAACTGGGGGTATGAAATGACGATGAAAACTCAAGATTTCCTTGTAACAAGAACCAGCTTCAACCTTTGGCTTTGGCTGTTGGAGGGGCCAGCTCTGAGTCAAGAGGTTGAGAGTGTGCTTGCCTGACTCACTCATGAATGCCAGAGAAAACAAAAACTTACGTCTCGCTCTGAAGGGTTACTACCAAGAAAAATAAACACATAATTTCGACAAATTATTTCTTAAAGGTCTTGTATTTGTTATTGTTAAGGTCGCCAGAGATTCGTTTGCTGCATGCTGTGCATATAAACCGTGTGTCTTAGTGGAAAGGAGAAAAGGGGGGGGGGGGGGGAAGGGAGGCAAGAGTGCAGGCTGTGGTCACTGCTCAAAGCAGAGGCAGCGACTCTGATCAGCCCTGGAACGTGTCTGTGGACCACGCTGCGCTGCTGAAGACTCACTGCCTCACCACAACCCGACAAGAGTGGCTCTCGGAACCCAGGGCTTCCCGTGTGGCTGTGGTCCCACTGATCATCACAACGCTAGAAGGAATTCACTTCCAGAAACAGGACTGGTTATCAGCTCTCTACCTAGGCACTGTCACCAGAAAAACGTACCAAACAGACACCACGGGCCACTTTTCTAAGTTTACAGGCATCTTCCCCCTATCTGCTTTATTGGCTCTCAATCTTTAGAGGATGGAACTATGCTAGGAGAGATGACAGACTCCACAGATGCCCTGCTGCCCACCACAGTCCCACAGGTGCCAGCCAAGTCCCAACTGGGTTTGGAGGGTTCATAGAAAAAACAAAACAGAACAGAACTTGTCCCTGTTATCCTTCAAAAGGACAGCAGACTACTCAAAAGACTGACTTTATTATGACTGATTTAAATGTGTCCTCTGCTCTTAATTCTGGTGCCACTATAAGGGAACATACAATAGCATATATGGGAGAATGCAAAGGAAATAGTCTTTCAGTGTTTGGTGTTACAAACTTAGAGACAATGTCTTTCTTACATGTCAAAAAATAAATCTAAACAAGGTATGTTTATGTATTTGTTGAAATCTATACCAATAAGAACATACCAAGAAATGCTTGAGCCTCAAAACACTGAAGCAGGCCAGGTTGAAAGAAAGTACCAGGGTACACCGCACCATGTGACCTAACAGGCCTTTTTAGAAAATGCTCCCTCTACCCTTAGCTGCAGAACAAAGCAAGCCCCACCCCCAATAGAGTCAATGGTGATAACAGTTATGTAAATGTTTCATGACTCCTGGAAGAGTCCTGTTACAGGTTCTCATAAAGCAAGGGGAACAAGGAATGTGATCTTATCTGACCAGTAAGCACCTAACTCTAACACCCCAAATGTGATATGCCAACCACACATCCCAGGAGGCACCTGGGTCCTCTGACCTCCGAGCCTTGGCTCCATTTGTGAATCACTAGCGTGTATTTTGTTCTGTTTCTACGGAGGTTATTTAAGGGCACAAATGTGGATCTAAACAATCTTCCAGACCTGAATTAGGCCTCTCAAGACACAATCTCTCTTTAAATTCTGTTACGGTAATGCTGGAAGCTGTGAAGGCCCTGATCCTAGGCTAGCCAGATTTCCACAGCACACAAGACAGAGTGTAACCCACAGATTGAAGCATGTTTCTTCACCTGAAAAAGAGTCACTGCTTTGCATTTCCCTTTATATAAAGGGGAATTTACAACATTAACCTACCATAGCACAGTGGGAACGAATTAAGTCCTAGTAGAGTTAAGCCATTTACCTAGTAAACTCAAATACCAGGTACCATTTAGGTAATGTTAAACCCTCTCTAGACACCCTTACAGATGCTTGCTGTGTATCAGAGAGGCCACGACCAGATCTCTAGAACTTCTTACATTTCTAGACACAGCGCTATCTCCTTACACGCTGAGAGGTCACTGGGGTCTAAACGGATAGTGAACAGTCAAAGACAAGAGGCTAGAAACTCAGTTCCTGTGACTTCCACAGAGAGATCTGAAAAGAAACCGAGGGGGCTGGGATCTGTGACGGTGGGGACGGAGAGCTACAGTTTCCAATGGGGATTAGTGATCTGTAGGTCAACGGAGGCTTAGTGTTGGTTCCTATGGGCTACCCACACCCTTGTCCAGGCACATGCTTTCACGGGTCTACTCACGGCGCTGAACACACTTTCACCTCTGATTGCCTTCTGCAGAAATAAGGGAATAAGCGACTTTTCGAGACGGGCTAGAGCACACAGATGATGTTCACACACCAACTGCCCGCCTCACAAGAGGGCACGATCATGTGCAGCGATAAAGTAGTGTTACACTATTTCTCAAACATATTTACACATGTCCAAAGCACAATCATGGCCCTGGAGGAACACGGACTTATAAAAATCACTCAGTGATATATTTTTAAAATGTACCCCCCAAAATAGGTCTCACTTACTTGTATTGATCAGAAACTGATTTGACACACCGGGATGATCCACGTCATGTATTGCACTGGCGAAAATGGCCGCGAGAATCTCCAAGTCTGTGAACACCGCCTAGGAAGCCAACAGCACAGGGAATATTACTATGCCAGTCCAGGAAGATATGAGTGAGAGCATCACATAAACAAGTGAGATCAACCCCCACATTCAGAGGGAATGTGGGGTGAGGTCTGGCAGCACCTTACTATGCTCCAGCAAGCAGTGGCCCTTTGGGTGAGTCTTTAAACTTCGGCTTCCAAGCAAAGCATTTTAGACTCACGACAAGATCTCTCTTGTTCATTATATTTTAAAAAAAATATTGGAGGGTCTGAAATGATGCCGGAAGGAAATATGAGCTTCCAAGCAGCTCAATGATACTCTGAGAGTAACATCAACGACACCCGCGGAATTATGAAAAGGAATTCCTTTCTTTCATCTTCCTGTCACCCAAATCACCAGTTCTCAGCCTCAGTGCCATCAACGCTGTGGTTAGAGCGCACCGTGCTCATTATTGGGCTGTTTAGGGAATTTCTCATCTTGATTCACAGCATGCTAGGGGCATGTACAAGCAACACCGTTTCCAGAAATTCCCCCCATGTGCCTGGGTCTCGGGGTGGAGAAGGAGAGCAGGGCAGAAATCACCCCCAGCTGGGAACCACTCAGCCAAATAATGAGGCATAAGCACAAGTTTACAAGAAGAGTCTACACTACACAGCAAATGAAAATCTTTCCCTCTGATGGTTATGGAAATTAAATCCCTTTATGAAAGACTTAACGGAATAACTTCCTAGGATTTGGAAAATTTAAAAAGACAGTTCCTTCTAATAAAATTCCTGGGGAGTTATTAAGATGCTGCTTATGTTTTAAAAACACGACTGTCCTTTGAGTTTCAGCCATGAAACTAAAGTTCCAGAAAACAGCCGGACGAGGAGTCAAGAAGCCAGATGTGTGTGCACCCTGACTGCTGGGCCACTTCAAAGACGCAGTATTACAAACAGATGGGTCCCCAAATCGTTGACCAATTCTCCCAGACAGAATTCATCAAACGATCTGGGCTTTATTAACCATGATTTTTCTCCTCCTTCTAAGTCAGCCAGTGTATTTCCAGGGAAGTCAGCTCTTGTCTGCACTGACACCCCGCTGACGTCCAAGAGAAAGAGCTATTTCTAAGCGGCGAGTGACGGCGAGTGAGATCTTAGAAAGCAGCCTGACCTCCAGCGCAGGGGTGGACAAGAGCACATGCGTGGACTGGACGACATCTGCAGCATGGATGTTGTTGTGATAGGCCACGTCGGCATGGTAATGGTCCTCCAGAGTCATCAGATACGTAATTAAAGTGTCTACTGGAATTTTAAATGTTTTCAATAAATCCCGTTCCTGTAAGAAAAGAAATCCTCTTAACATTTTTGTCTTTCTAGTAAAACTCATTTGCCCGAGTGCGGTAAAAGAGAATCACAGGCTGGTGTTGCCTACAGACAGCCCAGACACCAGATGTTTTCTTACATCTGTCGAAGGCAATGGAGATATCTGGGCAGGGCAGAAGCTCTGGCAGGCACCCACCAATGAGCTGTCCTGCTGAGACCAACAGTCCCTGCATTTGAGGGGTACCGTGAGTGTCAGGAGTGGGCTCCCAAGCCCTACGCCCCTAGTCCCAAGGTACATCCCACCCTCACGTGGTACAAAGGCAAGACCAAGAAACAGATATAGAAATGATGGAGGTCTACTAAAAATATACTCAAGAAACTATTTTCTCTGTGAGCCAGCAGGGGCTTGTTTGTCGAGAAAGTCAGTCAGTCTGCATTGTGGAGAGGGTTTTGTAACTATTGTCAATACACTGTTTCCATTTCCCATAGTTCTTAAATAGAGACAAATACAGTTATGTGTGTTTTACACACACTCCTATTTATTATTATTTGTTCCTTATAAAGGAAAAAGCATCCATCCACAATAAAACAGAGCCATCAAAGTCAGTCAGGGGATGAGTAGAATGTATAATGCAGGATACGGAGCTTAAAGGCTGGGCAGTCTGGGGGAAAATTGACCCCAATGCCTGATCGTTGAGGCGTTATTGCTAACAGGTGATTGGACAATGAGGCTACTAGCTTCATTAATGAATTCTCAGCGCAATGGACAACCAGGAAGTAAGGCCCAGTGGAAAGAAGCAGGCCACTGGAGAGTTCGTTTTTTCCCTGGACTATTGCCCCTGCTCTGCTCCTCTCCCTGGATCTGTTAACCTCAGCGGAGCCTCTTTGACTGTACCACATTTTCTGCCCCCCCCCCCCCCCCTCCGTGGTCTGCCTTATCACAGCCTCAAGGCCACAGAGTAGCCAGAACTAATTACTTCTCCTCCTAGAGGGATTTTCTTGGGGATGCTGTCACAGCGGAAGCAAATGACAGCCCCTTGGTTACCTGAAAGATGGTGTGCATGATAACAGTCAGGGGCCGGTTTCCAGACAGCTCTGCTATTCTGAAGACATGGAGACCCCACTTGTTCACGTCTTCTAGTTCCTAGGGGAAGAAAAACACCCAGAGAAGACAACGGTGAGCAGGAGGTGACAATAAACAGAAGCATTTAAAAATAACTGACTTCAATGAGGAACATTACTAAAGTTAAAAAAAAAACACTCATTTTAAAAGTAAAGGATGGGACATGTAAACACAGTCAAATTTAAGGCAAGTTCACTTAAATGTACTGAAAACCAAATACTGACTAATCACAACTCTGATAGTAAATCACATTCATATGCTTTCATTATTGATCTCAAATAATTTCTTCTATAGTTAAAATCCAAGCACAGAATCTACCTAGTCTAAAATCCAGGGCAACAGATTTCGAATTCTTCAAAAAGAGGCCCCCAAAAAAATCAAATAAAAATGCTTAAAAGTAAACAAAGAAGCAAGCAAACAACAATCCAAGACATATCAATCAAATCACAGATCTAAATCTACATATTAATAAAATCTAATAATTTATACAGCATGTGAAGTGATCTTCCAACCTTTAGATCAAGGAGAGATGGCTCAGAGGTTAAAAGCAGTTGTTGCTCTTCCCGAGGTCCTGACTTCTGTTCTCGGCACCCAATTTTATAACTCTTATAACCCCAGGTACAGGGAATCGGATGCCCTCTTCAGGCAACCATTGGCACTGTGCTCATGTGTGTGTATGTGTGTTCATGTGCGACAAATACATACACACACACTTAAAAGGAAACAAAATAGGTCTGTTGTTGTTTTGTTTTGTGCTGTTTTGAGACAGGGTCTCACTATGTAGCCCTGGATGTCCTGGAAATCACTCTGTAGACCAGACTGGCCTTGAACTCACAGAGATTTGCCTGCCTCTGCCTCCTGAGTACTGGGATTAAAGGCGTGCACCACTATGCCTGACTCCAAAATAGTTTTAAAGATTATATAAATTAATGAACTCTTCCATCCACTTAAAAGAAAGAGAATTCATGGAAACAAATCCCGCCGTGATCTTTGAAATGACAGTACCTTGGCCAGGACATCCTCCTGTTCCGTTTTAACCCCAAACCTTGGGATGCATGAATTGGTTAGGCTGGAGCTGTGCATCAACTTCTTGACCCCACTGATCTGAGACATCGGCCTTTTCTTTTTCTCCTTTTCCTTCTGAGTCGGAGAGGGAATTTCCACTTCATGTTGCTTATCTTAAGAAAGAGAGAATTTATTATTACTTCAACTTTATTTTTTTTTTTTTTTGGTTTTTCGAGACAGGGTTTCTCTGTGGTTTTGGAGCCTGTCCTGGAACTAGCTCTTGTAGACCAGGCTGGTCTCGAACTCACAGAGATCCGCCTGCCTCTGCCTCCCGAGTGCTGGGATTAAAGGCGTGCGCCACCACCGCCCGGCTTCAACTTTATTTTTTTAATCACACAACATATAAATGAACAAAGTACAATTGCTCACTCTACAGTCTAGAAAATGATTCCAAACACTATTTTTACTTTTAGAGTTGAAGACAAGTTGATATCCTCAAACACAACATGGAACAAATTCGACTTTATTTACAAGACCACTTGATAGATTATCCTTGAAGAAGGCTGCAAGATACGACAGCCAGCTTAAAGAAAGCAGAGTACTTGATGTGTCCACCGATCCCATTCCCACTGGAATTTCATTTAGAGGTTTGAAAACAACCTTTCCAACTAAGAACTCCAGTTTCAACATATTGATATATGCAAATAGATCAAGAATAGCAGCTTAGGAATTCAAGAGCTAAATAATCACAGTGAGTCACACCAAGAGAGCCTAAGCTGTACCCCAGAAAGACCTGAGGATTTCTACTTTCCCTCTCTATGCAGTAGGAAGGAAATGTCTACAGTGTCGCCAAGTCTCGGAGGGACCTCAGACAATCCACAACACTATGTAAGTAGAGGCATACATGCTACCGTCTATAGTAAATGCTCTAGACATACGGTATCTCAATGCATTCACCTCTGTGAAGGCAGTGAGCAGCCTGACCTCATCCCCGTACAGTATTGGTTTAACAATCATATGGACAGGAGTTCACTCCTTAATACACTAATAATTTTGTTTTGAAAGTGAATCCTCCTATCAAAGAGGAACTCAAGTGATTAATTTTCACTTAGCGCCAATTCTTTCTGTCTTCTAACCTGTCTCACAAAGCCGCACTGGGCTAAGTCCAAAAGCTTCCCTTAGAAACTGCACCTGGCAGGGACTATTTCTAATTCATTATTTTTCCAGTGCCCAGCCGTGGTGGCCTTTAACAAAAATGTGTTTGATGCAGGAGTGAATAAATATCATGATATTTCATAACTAGTATTATGAAAAGACCTTGCTAGGAAGGTGGCTCAGTGTTATACTGCTTGCCTAGCATGTGCTTGATATCTTGTACTTCAGATAGATAGGTAGACAGACAAATAGACAGATAGGTGAGAGTATGCCATGTCACCCCCAGATTGATTCTGATTCTCAAACGCTTAATGTCTCAACTTATTAACATTATGTATAAAAAAGAATTTCTAGCATATACTTGGTTTCCAAAATAAGTTAAACTCTAACTGCCCTCTAAACACAAGCAAGCAAACACACAAGCCTAAGGCCAGTGTTAAGTTGCACATGGCTGTTCTCACCTAAGAATGTGTTCGATATGTACTCCGACACCTGGTTCCCTGACCGACTCATTTCGGAGAGATGGGTGAGCTCCCGATTCAGCATCCTTTTAAACTGGAAGAGAAAAGGAGGACCGTGGTAAGAAATGAGCACATTTCGGGTGTCATGATATAAGTGTGCCCCAAGACACACGGAAATACACCCAGAGAACGTCTAAATAACCATGACAACTGGTCACCAGTGCTACTGTCTCCAATGTTGGAAAGGTAGGCCGCTCTGTGTTGTAACGGTGTCCATCAGGCACACAGGGCTGTGAAGCCCATGAAACGGGGTCAGGATGAATGAGAATTTGAGTTTTGGACTTCATTTAACTTTATCTTCAGTTTACATATTCACAGTTATCTAGCAGCTACCACACAAAATAGTATAGATAATAAAACTTAATGACATTAATCAACAGATAAAATAATTTTTAAAGTAATGATATCATTATCATCTGCAGAAGAAAAATATAATTGATGAATACAGATCACACATTGCATTCTATACTTCTGCTTGTTTATTTTCTTTTTTTTTCTCTTTTGTTTTTTATTGTTTGACTGTTTCATATATAAACAGAGAGAGTCAGTTTCAGTTGTTTTTACCCCCTAGAGACCTTCCCACCAACCCCCCTACTTTCTTGTCTTCTCTTTTTGTATGTGACCCATTGAGTTTAACATAGTATTATTTTATCAATTGATTTATCATTATTAAAACTGAAAATATAATAGTGATCAAATGTTAAAGTATCATAGTCCTTAATCATAAAGAAAAACTTAGTAGATTTATTTGAATGTTCTTCCAGGGATTTGGAGAAACACAACATCAGAGTAAATACTACATGTATAACGTTTGATTCTGAAGCTGTGTCCATGCAGAAAGTGTAAGAAGTGTTCGTTTTTCAGAAACCATAGAATTTACTGATCCACCTCCCACATCAGCAAAGCAGGCCAATGTTTGGTCCTCTGCTGCTGTGCCCATTTCCATCCAGACACACTGCACTCATCCGCTCCCACAACAGGGAAAAGCAAGCTAAAGCTACTCTGAGTGCACTTGATTCCCTCGTCAGAATGGCTAAGATTAAAAACAAAACAAGTAAGCAAACAACAAAAGAACAAGAGAACACATGAGGGCACCTGCCAGTGAGGCTGTGGGGAAAGAGGGGCGGGGGATGACACTGCTGGTGGGGGTGTGAACTGGTGTAGCCATTATGGAAATTAGTTTGGGGGTTCCTTAAAAAGCCACGAATAGCTCTGCCACTTGATCAAGCCACACCACTGCTGGGCATTTTCCCAAAGGACTCTATATCCTACTATAGAGGTACCTGCGCATCTGTGTTCTTTGCTGCTCTAGTCACAATGGCCAAGAAATAGAAACAACTTAGCTAACTGTCTATCAGTGGGCTGATGGACGATAAAAATGTGGTACATTGACACAACAGGATATTATTCAGTATTTTAAAAAGTGAAATTATGCAGATTTCAAGTAGATGGATGGAATTGGAAACGATCATTCTGAGTGAGGCAGCTCAGACCCTGAGAGACAAACATCAATGTTTTCTCTCATTTATGACGTTAGCTTTGCCTCTTGATACATGTGTGTTTCACCTGGAATAGTCACAGAGGTCAAGGAATTAATCAGAGACCATATAGACAGAGCTTCTTAAAGTACAGCCTTCCTCTGAGTCTGACAATCACCCACCTGGTTAACATGCCTCAATCGCTTTCAACATCCAGGGGCCTAGCTGTCACCTCAGTGTTTGCCATAGGGGTCGTCCCCCACCCCCACCCCCCATCGTGACTTCCCCTGGTGACAGACTTTACCTGGACCTGTAACACAAACTAAGCCCTTTCCTCTGCAAGTTGCTTTTGGTCATGTTTTTTTTTTTTTTTTTTTTTTTTTTTATCATAGCAAGAGCAAGCAAACTGAGACGTCCAGAACAATGCATTTTTCCAATGTATAGACTAAGTACTATTAAATACTTGATCAACAGGTAAAAAAGGATTTTATTCTTATCCTTGGTAGACTTTGAAACTTGACATTTCACTCTAAAATCTCACTAGAGAGGAAGAATGAGCTCCTCTTTCGGAAGTGTTCACAATGCAGTTCCGAAATGAACTGGCTCATCTAGAATTTCAAAATCTTGCTTCTCTGCAAAATTTATACAGAGATGGCTATCAAGAAGCAATATAGTCTGACAGATCTCTTCCAAAGTCAACCCTAGAAAATCCAAATTAGGGTTAATACTTCAAGCAATACAACAAACACTGAGGCTGATCAAGATAACACCAACCAACTGTTAGACACAAGGGGTGAACACTAGCTTTCCCTTACAGATGAAAAAGAGAAACTGGCTATGGTACACAAATTCTGTTTGTCAGTCTGCAGGGACAGTTTATCATGGGAACAAAGTTTACTTTTAAAAAAAAACCTATATATTTGTATACATTCCTGTCAAGCATAGCATACACATGTATGGTAGAAAGATACAGAAAGCTATACAGAAAGATTTTATAAAAGCATTTAAACCCCACTGCTCAGAGATAATTACCCATAAGTCACAGACAATTAGCTCTGTTTTCTCCGGGGCCTTTGTATTGTTATTTACTCTGCATCCCATCACTACAAGATGTCAGGTTCTGTTTGCTTCCACTTAGCAACACACACTACTTAGGAAAGTAAACGCAGGCTCTCTGAGAATATTTCAAAAGGCATTTGCACTAACTACTGCCAAAAAAAATGTGTCATCTTTACCAAGTTATGCTTCCTTAAGTAAATTATTAATTTTCAATGAACTACATAAGCTAACCATTTAGGCTGTCTTATAATCTGCTTGCCACAAGATGTGCACACTGTGTTATTTGAGAGTTCTTTCTCTTAGTTCCTTGTGTGGTGATCAATCCAGACTCCCAAGGCTTTTTATTCTGATAACTGACTTTTGTCAATGAAGGACACATCAGTGGAACTGGATATAGGTATGTCTACAGCTAGCCCCCATTTATCCAACTGCATAAGGGAATTTAGGCAATAACCCAAATGGGCAATCATGGCTATTTCATAATATTACCCCTGGTAAAATGTACCCATTAGACAAAATGTATTCAAAAGAAGGTTTTCTAAATATTTTGAACATGTACCCAGTGACGTATTCTCTCTCTGACTTCAAGTAGTCCATGCAGTTAGATGAAGATACCATTAAGAACTTCCTGACCATGACCAAGTGGGGAGGGGCGGGCACTGCTTTAGGCCCCCTTGAGCCTCTCAGGAGACAGTACAGGAACTGCCGCCACCTTATACATACAGCTAAGCACCAGACACCAGTTTTCTGAGGCCAACCGGGAAAATTAGACAGGAATTCACAGAAGCTCTGTCTACCTTATGCATAGACCAGTTAGAATTAATATGTTGTTGTCCAATACAGCAGAAAAATGTCCATGTTCATACTACCTGCAGACAAGGCACATAACTATTTCCTTTTTTTTGGAAGTGTATTGATATGATGTGCAATTCTTCTCACTGTTTGTTTACATAAATCCATCAAAATAGTCAGTCAGTGTAACATGAGGCTAGAAACGCCACTGCAGATTCGTCTGTGCAGACTGACTGCATGCCCCCCCCCCCCGCAGACTCCCCTGAACAGGGCTCTGTCATAGCCATTCTTCCCACCGTCCTCTCCCCTCTTTGTTCAAGTCACAGAAACACGGCCTGGAAAAGCCCTGCATCACACACCTGCACACCCGTCTCCCTGCCAAGGTTTGCTGTGTTCCAAAGAAGGCACGGTTTCATCTTAACAGAACAGAGATGATATTTAAAGCAACTCCCCAAGGTGTTCTTCCCAGGGGAGCCAAGGCAGGGGGATTTCCAAAAGTCCATTTGCAAAGAGCCAATGAAGTCACAGCACAAGGGACATCTGTGAAGAGTTCAAATGCTTACCTTCTTCTTGCTACTGCTAATTACAATGTCAACCTAGGCATGCTACATTAATAACCACAAAAGTGGCCACAAGTGCTTTCTCAACTTGGAGCTGATTGTCTGATGCATTAAAGAACAAAACACTGGAGCTTTTAACAAACATTTTAATTACCAGGTGAATTTCTGTCATTTTGAGTAATGACGTTTATTAAGGTATTTACAAACTAATTACCACGGGTAAGGAAGAAAGGGTGGTTTAAAAAGCTAACAGGATGCCCACTCCTTACAACAGTATTCCACTCCCTACCCAATTTAGGAGAGGGAAGCACAAATGCGCCTTTCACTAGAACCCCGTGAAAAGAACCATTTAACTGAGCACGGAGCTATGTTTTAAAGTTACCTCTATTTTATGCTGATTAATTTCTTACCGGTCCTGTCTTACTCTATCTAAGTGGTTTTAAAACCATTTACAAAGCATCATGGGTTACCACTAGGCAAAAAAGAGGAAGCTATCTCGGGGAACGCTTCTGAGGTCTTTGTTCTCATCAGGCACCAGAGCGTGTGTGCGCTGCATCTCAATCATGCAGCGGAGTCCACATGCCGCCACACTGAATGCTAGATTGTGTTTTAGGGTCCCCCTTCTCCGCTTAGCAATCTCCAGTTAAGACGGTGAAAGACGGAGTAAACTCAGCCTTTATGAATTCAATCCTCTGTCATTGTGCACCAGGGCTGGGTGGGGGCAAGGCATATCCTGTGTGCATGAAAAGAGGCGGTGCAGCCAGCAGTAGCAAATGACTACAGTTTCCATCCCAGAATTCAGCTAACAGTCATTTGAAGATGAACCCTGCAAGGGTGGACGGTATTGATATGAAGACCTGTTTCAATGAGCACTACACCGACGACTGCTTTCACTGTGAAATGCTAGTGATCTCTTGAAAGGGATGCCCTGCCGGGAGGGGAGATATCAATATTAAGACCCATTTAAAGGAGTACCACGTTGGCTCTATAAAAATGAATCTTTCGGAATACACAAGACCAATTACCAATATTTGACTTTCTTAAAAGGTTTTAGGGGCAGAATGTCAATACAGGCACAAAACAGTGCAGCAAGTTTTCACTCCAAACGTTAAGTCCTACTATTCTATATTCAGATCTGTGTAGGC